CAAAAGAGTTCCCCAAGCAGTGCAGGTAATAAACACTTAAGATATCTGGAAAGCTGCAAAGTTGCTCAGAGAAATTGAGGCTGCCCCATCTGTGGAAGTTCCAGGCCAGGCTGGATGGGGCTTGGAGCAGCCTGGGACAGTGGGAGCTGTCCCTGCCCATGGCAGGGGTGGAATGGGATGGCCTATAAAGGTCCCTTCCAAAACAAACCATTCTATTTATCTATGAAATATTGCTGTAACACGAGGAGTAGTCAGAATTTGAATATATTGTGTGGACAGTAAAATTCAAATATTGGCGCTGAACAATACATACTGTTTTCTGTTGTATGGAGAATTATGTGTAAATATATTGCAGTAGTCTCACACCTCTGTGGCAAGATTTATCTTAGGATTTTGTGGGATGCTTTAATGTGGGTGAGAGATGGTCTGAAACCTGCAGTTCTTAGATACAAATAGGAATCAGCCAAAAACCTCAGTGCAGTGCTTTGGTAATGCTGAATGAGCAGCATTACACCTCATATTCTCACCTTTACAGTGATTGTGGCTCCTTTGCTTGGAAAGAAAACAGTGTCCATAGTTCATAAAGCTGCAAACTGTAAAGGTAACCAGAGTCCTGCTCTGTATAGAAACTAAATTTTTGTTAGGTTTTGAGATGTTTTCAGTATTTTCATGTAATTGTGTTAAGGACTCAATCCAGTGGCCAGATCTCAGATGACATTATAAAATCATGTGCATGACCATCTCAAATTCTTACACTTTAAAGCAATAATTAAAAGAAAATCCCACAGATATCTGTAATTTATATTATTCAAAATATCTGCAGACTAAGCCAGATGACCATGGCAAGTGTAATTTTGGAAGGGGGCAGCTGACTGTACTGGACAGATAAAATTCCAGCATTAGCAATTAAGTTGTGATACCAGTAGGAGATACAATCCTGAAAGGAACTCTAATTACTTGTCTAAACTTGTTTAAATAGAAGATGTGTAGAGGATGACAAATTTTTTCCCAAGTTCAACAGTATACATTTGTACCTTGAGTTACACTTAGGAGCTCAGACATGGCATCTGTGTACTGCTGATTTGCTTTTAACTTTCTTTCGGATGAAAAATTATATTCTTGTAAGCCTTGTTAATAATTAATACTAAAATCTTCTAGAACAAACAGTAAACTTGGGATTTATACCTACCCCTAGCAATTTGGGATTGGAATGAGTCCTGATGTGCAAAACAAACTCCCTTGTGTTGCTCTAAAGCCTCTGCTGCTGCATTACGGAGCCAAGTTCTGGGGCTAAACAGATGCTGGATTTAATAGAGAATGACACTGGCAGGCCAGGCTGTGATTCTTTGGGGGTGTAATAATATTGAGCTAAGCTAAATGAGGTGATAGCAAGTTGTGTCTGGGTTTTGGTGGGTTTTTTTTTTTTTTTTTTTTTTTTTTTTTTTTTTTTTTTTTGTTGGGGGGAGGTGGGGGTGCAGATAAGTAGATTGACCTGTTGTAAAATCTTATATTAATGAACTGTGCATTTATTTATTTAACATATTTAAAGGAAAAGTAAATCAGATTTCATTGGTAATTTACTGCTAGAGTGAGGACTGACTTTCCTGGAGTGAATTTCCTGTGATTTGGTGTTTACTGGGGCTGTTCCACTTCAGCATGTGAGGAAGCAGAAGTTGTTTAACCTTGATTTTTGCAGTTTCTTTGGGATCCCCTGGTGCAGCCTTTCTGTGCAGTGGGGGCTGTTATGAAATTGAAGGAAAAATTGTAAATAAATAAGTAAATGTTTTAAATACTGCTTAAAGCATACTGTTGTAAATCTGTTCCAAGTACTGATGAACCTTTTATATTATCCAATAACTTGAACCTCTACTGTCTTAACCAGCATGCAGGCACAGAGGCAGAGCCTCTTAATGAAAAGCAGTGTAGACATTTAAGTGGTTACATGTTTTATTTGAGGGATCTTTTCAGCACAAGGCAGCTATTTCTAAGAGAAATACTTGATTTGACTGCCATTTAATTTAATATTATTTAGTAACAGTTGAATTGGAAATGTGTTTGAGATCATGACTAGCATGTAATCCGCTAAGTTAAAACATTGGGGTTAATCTGTTACTGTTGTTAAAATGCCTGGAAATCAAATGTTGATTTTTTTTCTATTTTAAATTGTTTTTAGTAATTTTTCCAGTAGAATATTAATGAACTCTGAAGGAGAGACTTGTTTCCTGGGTCATTTGATGGCTGGAGTTCCTCAGAAATGTCTTGCTTGTGTAAAGCAGGGCCTGTGGTTCAGATTGTAGGAGCTGAAGGTGCTCAGGCTGTGTCATGAAGTCATTGCAGAGCATTCATCAAGCTTTGGGGTAACACAAGTTCCTGATGGAAGGAGTTATTAGCTTTGTGTGTCTGTAGGTGTAGTCATCTACAGGAAGGATCCGTAGAACTTGCTGAGGTTTTTATTTCAGAGGGGTATAGTGAGTGTAATGTACTTAGGAGAGGAAAGAAACCACCTGGGTCATAACAGAACGAAAAAATGTGTATGTTTGTTTGATTGCTCCAAGATTTGCTGGCTCTTGAGTGAGTGGAAGTCAAAGCTCGCCAAGTCTCCTTATCTACAAACTACTGTCAGGTATTTAAAGCTCAAGCAAGCAGGATTATTTTGATATTTGGATGGCTTGATATTTATTTCATTTAGAGGAGAAAATAATCAGCCAGTGCCTTATTTTACTGTCGCTTTGGGGAAGATTGTGGAATGAAAAATGTTGTCTGCGATTTGGAGGGAGGCAGCTGGGCATTAGGGCTGGAGGGCTCTCAGGAGCTCCACAGCTTGTCGTGTTTGCTTGGGAGCGTGACTGTGGAGCTGGGCTTGTTCTTGGGCACTGTGATTTGACACTGACTCTGAAAACAGACGATAAAATTTTGCTAAGACTTGCTGTTAAAGCCCTCTTTGTTTTGGATTTTGTCTTAATGGTAACGTGCTGGCATGCTGTAGGAAATCTGGAAAGCAAGCGTGACTCCTTTTCAAGAATTAGCTTGAAAGCTGTTCCAGTTGCTGTCATATTTCTGGGAAGGTGGTTTAAATGTGGGGGGCTTTGGGAGCTGCAGCAAACTGTAAGAGTAGCTTGAAAATAGAGAATACAGTGACTCATTTTAAGAGAACAGACTGAGGGTTTTGGGCACTGTCGATGCTCTGGCATGGAGAACTCAGAGTTCCAGGTGAAGGTGGAGGCATTTGAAGGCAGGGCTCCAGCTGCCTCTTGGTTCTCTTCACCACTGATTGTTTGTCTTGGAGCAAGTAAGCTGGAAAACATGAGCAGAGAATGGGAACTTGAAGCAGACAGAGGCTAGGCTTGTTTTTTCTCCAAGAAATAAAGGTTTAAATGTAGGCCTTTAAGCCATTTAGAGGGATGGGGTTTGTGTCAAAGTATAGGTCCAGGGCCAACAGCATCATTGTTGGCTTTTGCAGTAGTTGAACATGTTGCAAACACTTCAGGTTGGACAGGGCTTGGAGCAACCTGGTCCAGTACAAGGTGTCCCTGCCTGTAGAGTCTCCTACAAATAAAATTTAGAAAATAATCACCATTTTCTTTCTTTTTTATTTTTTTTTTGTTAGGATCTCACATTTTAAAGATCTCTTTAATATTTTATATTTATATTCATAGTCTACTCTATGACTGTGCTGGCCCTTTGTTGTTTCTGACATATTTGTGTACTTTGCTGCTGCTCTAAATCTCAAATATGAATTCTGTGATGGCTGCTAATGTTACAGCTTTTTGTTTCTTTCCAGTAAGCTTTCTTCATATTTACACAGTTCTTTATTAATATTGATTGCTCTTAGAAGTGTCTTTTCTGGACTTAATTGCTTTTACAAAGTTGATGAGTTTAAGAGTATCAGTATGGTCGTGATCCTTGTGTCTGATATCTTGTATCTGACACTTTGCATCTGTATCTTTGTAGAAACCAAGGGAAAAGTTGCTGCTGGGTAGTAGTTTACATCTTCTGATGCAGCTGTGCCTGTTCTTAATGTCTTGTGCCACCTCAGGAATGAGTATTTAGGTTGCAGTTAATGTTGCACAACACTTTTATCTTGATGGCGATGCCTTTTTTGATACAAACTTATAAACCAATCAGTCACGGTTATTTTGTCCCAAAAGGAAGAAGTTTATTGAAGTTGATGCCCTGGAAAGATGCGAAGTGCTTGGGATTATACCTGGCACGTAGTTGATAGCGTTGTGTTGGTTTCTTAGTTAATTAAATTCTTTATAAAAATGAGAAGCAGCATGAAGATTTTAAAACTTCTCATTCCTCACGCAGATCAAGTACAACACATATAATAAGAGGTTTTGGAGTGCCAGCTTCTGCAGTGTTCCATCAAAAGGCAGTTGTGTTTCTGATGTGTTCATTTTATGACTCTTTCCCGTTGAAGTAGTTGCCTGGAAGGAACCGTGTTATTTCACAGAGGTCAGGAGATTCATGTCAGTAGCACCTTTGCTTACTTGATAACAGCATGATAAGAGCTGTTAAGGCAGGAACTTTAAAGTTGTAGATCGTTGGTGGCACACAGGAATTAGCTGCATCTTTACAGGAGTAATAATTTTCTATCTGTGCGTGTTCAGTTTGAAAACATATTTCTGAATAGTTGTCAGCTTGGCACACCCATTAAAATTGTGAATTCTATTCTTGTAGTTTTCCCCACTGCTAGCAGCCTTGTCACTGATACAACTGTGAAGCAGTGTTCTTGCTGAGTATAATTTATTAAAATACAAGTGAGATGATGACTGAAGGAATAGCACAAAAACTTCTATCTTTCTTGACCAAACATGTTATAGTTGAAAGTTTGTTGAAAGGAAATCTTTCTGATATATTCCTATGTGCCTGATTCCTGCATCTTAGTAATTTTTCAAGGAGGTGATCTAAAGCTTTACTGGTGGCTAACTCAGGGTGTACACATTCCTTATTTGTGCAAAAGACTTAAAATATTTCTTTCTTCTTTTTTTTTCTCAAAGAAATGAAAATTTAGAAAAACCTTTGCCAAATAAAGAAGATGGGAGCGAATAGCAGCAGCATCAGTGAGCTTCCAGAAAATGAGTACTTACAGAAACTGTCAGGGTCAGAGCCCATCTCTGAGAATGACCCGTTCTGGAATCAGCTTCTGTCTTTTAGCTTCACCACTCCAACAAACAGGTAAGAGGGTGTTGAAGAGCTGGCTTTGATAATATGTTTATAGAAGTGACCAGTCTGAAAGCAAATGAGGGGTTATGTTAATTATTCCTGTTTTAGGTAGCAGAGGAATAAATGCCTGAGTAAAATAGACTGTTGTCTCTAAGTTTGGAAGCGTTTTCCACCACCTCTTCCATTCCTGTGGGTTTCTTTCTTCTTCGTAATAGCTGTAATTGCTATTCATTCTCCTAGTAAAGATCAGAAATAGGGTCTGTTGTGTTGGGGGAGCCTTTTTTCCTTGTTGTTTTAGGAAGCTTTCTTTTCCTTTGGTATAGCCTTTGGGTTTACTGGAGATTCCAATATTTGATGTTTCCTCTCAATTTAGAGTGAATTGTACTTCTTGCATGATTTAATTGTAGGTTAGCTTCCGAGTTGCTTAGTCTGTATAGCTTTTTTTCACCTTCTTTGCATCTCAGAAAGAAATTTGGTGTGCATTCTCCATAAAAATATTTTCTAAATACCTAAAATTCAAGCTTTGGATGCCTTTTCATTCCAGAAAGTGGTGTAGGGTATAAATAAAATCAGTATTTTTTGGAGGATCCATAGCGCATCTCCAGAAGTAGAGAATTTAAGTGCTTGTAACTTCTATTAGCCCGACTCCATTGCTGAATTCTTTGGCCTGTGTGTAGATCATCAGTTTTACAAGAACAATCTGATATTAATATCTTCAGGTGTTACTTAAACTATTTTTACAGTTTTCAGCATAAAACTGGTGCTTCTCTGTAAGTGAAAGTTCAGGCAACTGGAATGGAAAATGGTTAAGGTAAATAACTGGGAAGCGTTTACTAGGTGCTATTTTTATGAAGAGTGAGGAGGAGGAGGAGGAGGAAGTATTTTGGCTTCTGCCTGGAGAGAATAGCCAGAGGTGTGGGAGAAGGGACAGAGTTGTGGAGGGCTGTAAAGCTGGTAAAGGGCAGGACGGGACTGGGAGTGTGCAAACAAGCAGTTAGTTGTGTTTCCTCTAAGATCCCTGAAGATTGGATTTATTTACAGCCTACCCATTACTGATAAGATTGACAGTATTCTAAAAACTTATATAATACTCTGTTGTTAGGGTTAATAATAATTACATATAAAACCACAGCAATTTCTTTTTTTGCTCTATTTTTCTTTGTTCACCATGAAAGTTAAGGAGTTTTTCTTAGCTTGTTTTGCAGCTTTTTTGTGCCTATTTCTTGAAATTCAGATCCAGTGCAAAGTAAATTTGCTAAAAAAATCCCCAAATCAACAAAGCAAAAACCTCACCAAACAAAAAAAACCTCAAGCAAGGAACATAATTAAAAAGACAAGAAGTCCAATAAAATGATCCAAATGCAGGTTGAAAGCTTTAATTAGCTGAACACCAGATGGTGCTCTTGCCTGAGAGCTAGAGAGGAAATATTTTTAGAGACATCTTTTCTGCAGCTTAGTATTGGAAGGAAACAGAAATTTCTCATTTAGTTGCATCTACCTGAGACAACCATTGGCAAGTGAAATCAGGCTATGTTGGCTGCACAGCACCCTCAGTATTTGATTATACCAGATAACCTTGCCTTCAGGAATGGAACAATAGAGGTCAATGTCAATTTATGAGATTGAAATCTTCCAAATGACCAAGTTAACTCTTTTTTTTAATGAGGCTTAAGTGTCAGCAGCAAGATGCTTGTTTGTGATTTGTGGAAAGGAGCCAGTTTTCACGTGTCATACAGGACAGAGTTTTACAGTTTTCTTTTCTTTTTAAATTCACTTTTTCTGGTTTGTTGCAAAACTAGTGACTGTTTGCAAGTATTATTTGAAGCAGTTTAAGTGCTTTGTGTTGTTTTTTTTTCTGGAGGCAGTTGGTGATACTTCAGAGTAAAAGATCTGTTTCCTGAAGTTTTTGCAAAGATGGGACTGATGCGATTCCCAGGGAAAAGAGGGCTGTCTTCTCTGGGTGCTGCTTTGGATGTAATTCTGTTCTACACATGTCAGTACCATAGGGGAAGAGGCAGAGAAAATCACTAGAATGCGGTAGAAAAGTTTATGTTGGTAGGAAAAGCAATCAGCCAAACGCAGATTATCCAAGCAAGGTGTGGAAATGGTGGGGCTGGGGTAGATTTACTCCTTTCAGCAACAGATGCCCAACAAATTCCCCTTTTTGTCAAGAAGCATTGCCCATAGCAAGGAAACAGTATCTGCAAAGAAGGATTCCAAGGGAAATCTGAATCTGTGTGTGTAAGAAAGTTGTTTGTGGGGTTTTTAACACTTTTCCATGTATGCTTTTTCAAGTTAGGAACTTGTGACTCGTGCTTTGCTTTACAGAAGCTGTTCCAAGTTAGTCCAGGTGCTGTAGATCCCAGGTATCAAACAGAGCTGGATCTTTTGTGGAACAGTAGTCTTTGTGCCTTGGCTTGAGAGATGGGGAATGTCTTGTTACTTCAAGAAAAATGAATACATGATACCAGATCTTAAAACAGCACCACTTGCAGCGCTCTGCTGTCTTAATTTTCTTATGCTTTGTGTCTCCTGGCACTTTGTATTTCTTCATTTGTCCTTGTTTTGCTTTTCTCTCTTTCACCTTTCAGTTTAGTTGATCTCTTCCTTCTTTTTTCCTTTTTTCCATATCTCATCTTTGTGGTTCTCTTTTTTTGGTTTTTATTTTGGCTTTTTTGACCTCTACCTGACTGAATGGGTTAATCTCTCTTTTTCTGATTCCATGTGAAATTGTTTAGCATTGCTTATTTCCTCAGCCATGCCTTTTTTTACTGGGTTTTATTTTTTTCAGTCCTGTTGACTTTTTGGTCAAGAACACAAGGTAGTTTCTTTTGGTGAAGAAAACAAGGTCGTTTTCTATATGGAATAAATAGTTTGTTTCTGTATGGGAAAGTTTGCCAAATACCAGTGCTGCCGACTGCAAGTTGCTGTATCTCTGTCAGCATTGATGCAGGATGCTCTTGCCGCTTCACTATCTCTTCCAGTGTTTATATTGTTCTTCTGTAGGTTTAATTAGGAGCTAATCTATCTGGAAAACACAGCAGAAGTGTTTATTTTTTCAGCCAAGATAATTCCCTACAATGATTCATGGCTTGGCACCACAAAACAATTCTGGCATGATGAGGGATTGATTTTTTGGGGCACAGCAGCCTATTAAGCTAAAATGTGGGATTGCTTAAACCTGCTTTGCCATCCAAAACTGAACAGGAGAGTGTGGTCAAAGCAGAGCTTGCTCTGAAGAGTCCAGTATACTATATATATATATATATATATATATATATAAATATAAATATAAATATATATATATATACACTATATATACTATATATACTATATATACTATATATATACTATATACCCCAGTCTTCCTGGGCTGTTCGTTCTTCCTCTCATACTGTTGATTTACTTAATAATTAGACAAATATTAAGAGGGACTCTCAGCTGTCAGTAATCAGAAATGAGCTGATGGTGAATTCCTGCTGGCTGCCTGTGACTCCCCTGGCACGAGTGAATAGTAACAGCCAGAGCCAGCCTGGGTATCTGGCGCATAAAGAAAGCCTAGGAGTGGGAGCAGATAAGTGGCACAGATGTCAATGACAGTCCAAGGAACAGCTCCCAGCAGTTTAATTTTAGGTTGCCTCACACTTTTCACTGTAAAAGGTTTATTGCAATGTCATCTTCCATAAAGCAAATCATGCGTGCTAAGCAGGTACTGCTGAAGTGTCTGCTGAGGCATTTCTGGTTTCAGCCATTAGGAAGTACTTGGTACTCCAGTTTCCCACTCCTGCATGTTCCTGGTTTTTTTTCCTTCACAAGTCCTTATTTTTTGCACAGAATGGACTTGTGGGACCTGAATTAAAATCTGTATAAATCTGCCACTTCTATACTTTAGGTGACTACCCTATAAATCCAATAGTGTTTGGTTATTGGAAAAATTAAATACAGCTTCTCTGGATGATTTTTTAAGTTACTGTCAGGATTAAGAGCTATGAGGTTTGCTTTGGAGTGTTAGCTCTCAGTCTAGGCAGACTTTGTGTTTGTCTGGATTTTCTGTGATTTGCTACCAAGAATGCAGCCTCCTCCTTAGTGGTGGTATTAGTTACAATTATTTTCTGATGGAAAACTTAAAGTTAACTAAAGCAGAACTTGCTGAAAATCATGTGCTTAATATTTACTGTTCTGCTTTGTTCCTTCCCCAGAATTATAAATGAGTTGGTGGTTCAAGAATAATGTGCATGGGCCCTTAATGGAAAGACATAGAGATGGGAAGCTTTTATGTTTCCTTAGCATGGTACATTTTTTAAATGGTGCAATAAATCATATGCTGCCTTATACTCTTTGATGTCTGTCCTCCAACTACGCCATTGAAATCAGCATTCCCACAGTATGAATTTAGTCAATGGGCTGGTTCTTCTGTTTTGTGTTCAATGGCAAAAAAAAGGCCTTACTTTGAGGAAAAAACTGTCAGGAAAGCTGCTTGTTTTGTTTTTTCCCCCTCCTTTTTTAGAGGGGTACTTGTCTGCTTTGGTTTGGGTCTTTTTCTTACCATGCTAAGGGCAGGTGATATGATGTGAATATGTTTATAATTTTAGGCAGAATGCTTTCTCTTGCTATGAGGAGATTCTATAAGAGAAGCCACTGCAACTTTGAAACATCTGTTGTGGTGCTGTTAAAAGAAAAGCGGATAAAACCACATTCTTCAAAGCTGGCTGCTGCCAGGAAACAACCTTCACTGTCTTAATAATTATGGTTTTGCTGAAGACTGATTGTTAGTAAATTTAAAGTAAGGCAGCTGAATTCAACCATTGAAAAATAATCCTATTTATTATGCCACTTTTTTTTTTTTTTTTTTTTTTTCCCCTTCCTTTTCATTTTTTACAAAAACATCCTGCTAACTGCAGGATACTGCTTTTTGGTTGTAAGAAGCCAGAAATAAAAATCCACAGTCTTTGAAAACAATGAAATTTTATTGGTTAATGGACTGCTCAATTTGCCATTCTTTCCCATTTCTATTGAAAAGAGGTTTTCTTACAGAAAACTAACTTCCTGATGAAGAAACTCTGCACTGTGATGAGTGATTGCAAACACAAAGTGATTAAATCCCAAAGAAATAATGATTATCCTTGATTACTCTTTACTTTCACCACTGATGTGTGATAGCTGCGATCACACAGATGCTGCCTGCATCTGGAGCAGGTTTTAGTGACAATTGGTGTGCAAAATATTCTTATGACATAGTGTTAATATGTTACAGAAAATAATCACTGCCACTGTAAAACCTCTCCTGTTTGGATACCTTTAAAATGAACAAAGACAAACCAATTTTCTTTGAACATGGCTGTGCTGTCAAGGAAGCAAATTTCACTAGTATTAATTTTAGTTTTGCTGAAGTCTGTGGGCTTAGCCTCTACATAAAAGAAAAGCAAATAAAATAAAAGATTTTTTTTTTCTTTTATTAAGTACTTTGAAAGTGCTGGCCATCAGATCACAGCATGAGGGAGGAATTCCTGTGAAGCTTGGAATTTTTTCCTAAAGTGTGTGGGAAGCAACCGTGCACCTCACAAATTTGCTTGTATCCAAGCGAGCCAGTAAAGACTGGATAGTTAAGAATATTCTGATTTGAATCTATTCTGTTTACCCCCTATGTTCACAGCCTGTTTGAATCCCCACATCAGGTGGTACCTTTTGTTCCTTTCTTGGAAAACCGTGGAACTGGTGAATATGTAAATATGTCCTGCTCTGTGGAAGCGAGGTGGTTCAGTGCAGGTTGTGCAAACTCACCTGGGTCACTGTGATCCTGCTGTTAAAGGCCCGTGGCTTGAAGCTGGTGTCACAGAAGCCCAGAACAGTTTGAGTTGGAAGGGATCTTAAAAATCATCCCATTCCACACCCCTGCCATGGGCAGGGACACCTTCCACTGCCCCAGGTTGCTCCAGGCCTTGTCCAACCTGGCCTTGGACGCTTCCAGGGATGGGGCAGCCACAGCTGCTCTGGGCACCCTGTGCAAGGGCCCTGCCTTCCTCAGAGTTTGTTCCCTATGCAGGTGACGAGTTTCCATAGAGTGTCTTGTTCAGGGCAGAGCTGCCTGGATGTTACTGGAATGCCTGGGTTTCTCCTGCTGATGCTCAGCAGAGCCATCAAGCAGCAGGCGGAGTTGACTTTTCATACTCACTGCCTGTTTGTTACTAGCAATAGATAATCTGTTTCACATTGTGAATATATCAAACGTTTCTCATAGAGCAGGGAATGTTTTACACTCCATCCTTAACAAATCTGTCCTTTACTTTTATGTGTTCTAACCCATGTTACCAAGTGCTACATCCACACGGCTTTTAAATTCCTCCATGATGGCAACTCCATCACTGCCCAGGGCAGCTGTGCCAGAGCTGGACAGTCCTTTCCATGAAGAAATTTTCCTCAATATTCAAACTGAACTTCCTCTGGCCCAGCCTGAGGCCGTTCCTTCTGCTCCTGTCCCTGTTCCCCCTGGCTGTCCCCTCCTGTCAGGAGCTGTGCAGAGCCACAAGGGCCCCCTGAGCCTCCTTTGCTCCAGGCTCAGCCCCTTCCCAGCTCCCTCAGCTGCTTCTCATCAGAATTGTGCTCCAGACATGTATTTGACAACAGGGCAGTCCAAATTCCTCAGGTGAAAGTTCTTATTCAGGTGAGAGTTTCAATTCAGAGAGAATTGGAACTTTTATGTAATCAGTGCAGTGAAGCTTCACTTTATCAGTCCTTGCTCTTGTTAGGACTGAAATACAATTCAAGTGCTTATTAACAGTGTTCTCTGTGGCATAATGAAAGGACAGATGTTTCAGTGTTGAGTTTCCATTTTTACATTCATTCATTAACCAGCTGTTATTTCCATGGGGACTGTAGAGAAAAATTGGTACCACACACTTGGTTGTACTGTTTCTTTTGTGCCACCTTGTGAATCTTGGCTCTGGCGTCTTGTGTCCAAATCTTAATGTAACTTACCTTCTGTCTCTTCACTGCACAAGAAAATACCCAGGCCACTTTTTTCCATGTCTCTCACTTCTCTTTCCTGCCCGATCAAAGGAAAGAAAGTCACTGCTAAGTTTGGCCCATGGTACTTAGGAATGAGCTGCTGTTTTTTGTACCCTTCCACGATACTGTCTCCATGAGTCCATCCCTGGGGATGCATTTCAGTGGTGTCTGTCTGTTGGGGTGGTATTTCTGCTGTAATTCCTCCTCACTAGGTGCGGGAAATTACAGCAGAAATTCCCATTTCATTTGAGTGAACTGAAATTTTATAGTAGTTGTTGCCTCATCTTGAGTGTGGCAAAATTCACTTTTGTGTTCTTGTTGTATGAATAAGAGGCAGTGGGCTGTAGTTAATTTTTAAGCGTTAAACTTCATTTTAGTATGAAAAAGAATTACCGTAGTGTTAAAAGCTTTGCTGAAGATCTGAAAGCCTTGCTTGCTTTGCCACTGGTTTTGATCCTGGCAACTTGTAGGAACTAAACAACTCTGTGGAATTTTTTGAGGACTCTGTGTGGGTTTTAATAACTCAAAAGAGAAGAAAAAAAAATCTGTAAGAATGCTGTACTTTGAAACCTAACCTTAGAAATAAGGGAGAAAATGAACCATAATTCAAAAGCTGAATGTCTGCATTTAGGGTTTAAATCCTGGAGCAATTGCCACTCTGACTGTGTCCCCAGGATCTTTGGATAGTGGGAGGAGTCATGTTGTGTTACATTATGATTTTTCAGTACCTAAAATTTTCTACTGAGTTGTTGTCCATTGTAATATTCACCCTTGCTGCCTGCCAGGTCTTGGGAAGGAATAAATCCTGATGACAAGCAGCCAGCTGGGCAAATTTAGAAGTTTTTGTTTTTTTTAAAAGTGTAAGGTCACATAGACCTAGAAAACTGTGTTGTCCGTAGTTGCTGGTGGCGTGCTGGTGGTTCTTGCTCAATACCATTTGTTTTTAATTACTCTGCATATTTGTAGTGCTGGAACAAGAGACCACCTTTGAGACCAAGCCTAATATTTTTAAAGTATATATCAAAGTGTAAGTTTGTTCTTTCTGAATCTTGTGTTTCAAAGCAGTTTGTAAGAGAAGAATGAATGCTGGTAATTGATATCAGGACAAGCCAATCTCTGTAATTTAAAGTTGTCTTAGGATATTCAGCTGTAGGTGAAGAGCTGTCTCAGCTGTCAGCTCACTGCACAGTAAATTAGTCTGATATACAATAAAATTTGCAGGCATCTTAAAACCTAATTTGATGTCTCTATCCTGAATAATTTCCTGTTGAAGAGTTTTGAAATAATTTTTTTGACTGCTCTTTTTACAGTATCTTCTAGTCCTCATGAGCTGGGGAACAGCTCAGACTCCACGGCTTCCATGCATGGCTCCACAGGGTTTTCAGCACTGGAGCTTGTTAAGCAGCTTCCCACACAGCACCGCTGATAATCTCAGGTTGATGCAACAGTGCTGTGAACTGGGTTACCATGTAAATTTAAAAAGGATTGTGTTATGATTGCAAGTGTTGGACTAAATTTATTGACCATCCTTTAATTTTTTGAACTTCAGAAGTCCTTGAAGGTCAGGCTGTATGTTCAGTCTGTATAGAGGCTCTACCATCTCTTCCAAAACCTTAAGCACTAGATATGATATGTTCACATGTTCATAATATGAGCGGTGACACGACAAGAGGTGATTGTTTTAAACTAGAAGAGGGTGGATTCAGACAAGATAGAAGGAAAAAATTGTAATTATGAGAATGGTGGAGCAGGGTGCCCTTTAGTTATTAATATTCATATTGGTCAGTGTGGCATTGAACACAGTGTCTGATGATTTGTCTTGTTTTCCCATCTGTTAAGGATGTTTTTGAAGATCAGTTGCCCTGCACTCATAGGTCAGAAGTATGTGTTTGATGCAGCTGGTGTGGTTTCAGTGGTTGTTGTCAGGTTTTGCTTTAGTGCTTTATTGTTCTTTTCAGATAATGTTTTTCTGTGGCGTATCACGAGGCAATTAATGAAGTTAGGAACAATTTGCTGCATCTGATGTGATTGTTGTGCTAATATAATAACATTGGTTAAAAGGAAAGAGCTGGTTAGCTTGAGATTAAATGTCAAATTGAGGTTTCTTTTATTCGTGTTTTTAGAAGTGCGTCATTTTGCGAAATTTCTTGTAAAAAAGTTCAAGTTCTTTCTGTAGGCTGCTGTTCTATTTGTATTTTTGGTAACACCAAACTGAGTACGGCAGCCCTGAAACTGCAAAACTAGCAGTAATAAAATGCACATGGAATCACAGAATTGTTTAGGTTGGAAAAGCCCACGGAGACCATGGAGTCCAACCATTCCCCAGCACTGCCAAGGCCACCACTGACCCCTATTCCCAGGTGCCACAACTGCACAGCTTTTAAACCCCTCCAGAAACAGGGATTCCACCACTGCCCTGGGCTGCTATGCCAGGGCTGGACAGCCCTTTCCATGGAGGGATTTTTCCCAATATCCAACCTAAATCTCCCTTCACACAGCTTCTCTCATCCTGTCCGTTGTTCCATGGGAGAAAACACTGACATAATTTCACTCTGATAGACATTTCACTTTTGAATATTAGTTTCCTTTTTTATAGTTGCTGTGCTTGAAAAGAATATTGCATTGCCTGATGTTAGGATGACAGAGCATTGGAATGAGTTGCTCAGAGAGCTTGTGAGGATACTCAAAAGACACCTGGACACAGTCAGGGTGTGCTGGCTTTATGAGATCCTGCTTGTCCAACCAGGGAGGTTGGACAAACTGACCTCAGCAAGCTAATGGATGGCTAAAATTAAGTGCTTCATAGAAAGATTTTATTACTGTTTTGTACTGAATTTTCACTTCTAGTACAGGAACCCAATTGCTTGTGTAACCAGTTTTGTTTTCTTTTCCTCTTGCGCAGTGCTGATTTAAAGCTCTTGGAAGAAGCCACAATCTCAGTCTGCAAGTCTTTAGGTGAGACATTATATCATCTTTTTTCCATATACTTTACCAGAAAAATTGGGAAAGGCATCCCTGTTCTGATCCCACATTCATGCCTTTATCATTCTATTTGTATGTATTGCCCAACTAAAATTAAAGAGTGTGTTTATGTGTACCCCAAAGCTTTACCTCCATTGTTAACTCTTTTACAGAATTTGGTATGACTGCAAGATTTAAAACAAATATTTTCATCTCTACTATGTCTTTTTCCCTTTGCCCTTTAAGCTGATCTGTAAGGGGAAGGAATTAGAGGATGAGAGGAAGGGTGACATAAATGTGATCAGTGGTGTTGCGAGAAGGTGAAAGGTAGTTGTGAAGACCTGCCCAGTTTTCTGATGGGAGGCTGTTGTGCTGCAGACAAGTATGGGAAAGAAACAGTTTGAGTATGAGTATCCCATGTTTGGGATATTTTAAATCTAGGATTAATGGTATTTAGAGAACAATTTTGGACTAATAAACCATGTACTAGAGAATCTTGAAAGAGGAATTCCTGTACAGAAAACCAAGACATACTGTGCTTTATTTAGAAATATTTGAGACATTGAAATTTGCTTTTTTTTCTAAATGTCATTTGAACTAGATAGTGTCAGCTTATGCATACTTTGTAATTGTATCTTTTTTTTCCTCATCTAGTTGAGAAGAATCCTCGAACAGGAAACCTTGGATCGTTGATTAAAGTTTTTCTTTCTAGAACCAAAGAGTTAAAAATTTCAGCAGAATGTCAGAAGTAAGTTCTCAGAAAAAAGCTGTGTGTGCCATTTAATTTTTTAGGTGTTCCTTTTGTTGCTAGCGCTTGAATTTTTCTACACTGCTCACAGACCAAACCTTAGAATTCTCTTAAACTGCTGTTTGAAACAGAACAAGTGTCTAGTACTTCTCTAAACACAGAAATTAAGTGTAATAGGTAAGTAGGTTACTAGGCAAAAATGCATATTTGTATGTTTGATGAACACATTTTTATATAAATGATGTAAGGTATGAGTACTACTGCCTTAGAAATCTTTAAAAATTATCTGAACTTCTAAGCTGAACTTAATGTATGAGCCAGTATTCTATCTTGAAAATATTTTAAATATCTATATCTATGAAGATGTAAATATGTATCAAAATACTGCTTTCAGGTTATGTCATGCAGCTGCTGTTGGTTTTGTTGGCCCCTTTCAGCAGTAGGAGAGAACTCCCAATAGGTTACTTGTGCAGCACTGTGGGGGTTTTTTTGCAGGAGGCTTTCTGTAGTTGTTCCCTCACACCCACAGATAAATGTCCCATTTTTTCAGATCTGGGGCTGGAATTCCTCCTTGCTCCCATGACTGTCATCAAGTTTTTTGCTTGCATCTAAAGTAAGAAGTTATTTCTGCCCAGACAGCTGTTACTGTTTTAATCCTAAAATACCTTGAAAGTACAGCTTTCGGCAATAATTGACTCTGTGCTGCTGCGTGGGATCCCCAGCAGGGCTTACTGGGGCTCAAAAAATTTTATGCAGCTGCATTTCCCTTTCATTCAGAAAACTTGGAAAATATTTGTGTGTATTGCATAAGAAAATTGTGCTGTATGGTGCTCCTGAAGTCCATAAATGCCTACTGTCACCTGAAAGCTGTTCACCCGGGAAGAGGGCTGAGGTTCAGGGAACCAGGAAGCTTTCAGGTCTGAACCTGCTGGAAGTTTTCAAATGTCTGTGTGCCTTGAGTCCACAGCTCTAGAGACCTCTAGAAGTTTGCTGATCTGTTTGGTGAGTTCCTCAAAGAGTTCTGTCTACTGTGGTGTTTTTAATGGCACAAATGTAGTTAGGGATGAGGTTGTATTTTCTAAACTACTTTTGAATACATTCCCATTGTATTTTCTGTGATGTCAACTGCAGACTCCCTGCTTAAACACTTTTCCTTGCTTCAACTGTTGAACTTTGTCTACTCTGACATTTATTTTCTTGTGGCTTTTGATGCATGTTTGCTGGTGGAGTGTTACTGATTCTTGTTTGTTCTTTTCTAGCCACCTCTTTATCTGGCAGGCTCACAATGCACTGTTCATTATTTGCTGTTTGCTGAAAGTATTCATCAGTCGAATGTCAGAAGAGGAGCTGCAACTTCATTTTACTTACGAAGAGAAAGCAGGACCAAGCTCATATGGTGGGTGCACACAAGTGCAAGTGAAATATCCCATGAAAAACTTAAATGTCCTGATGTTTGTAGATGTGGCACACAGGGACGTGGTTTAGTGCTGGACTAGTGAGTTACATTAATGGTTGTACTTGATCTTAAGGGTCTTTTCCCTCAGGTCCTTTAGGTCTAGATACCTCTATGATTTTATGTTTTTTAGACTCAGAATCCCAAACTTTGCTTTAAAACCAGAAATTAAGTCCTAGAGAGTTCGATTTAGCATAATCTGGATGTTTTTGAGCAGTTGTTGAGATGTGGTGCTGTAGATCAGCCTGAGCTTTAGTGATTTTCAAACAGTTTGAAAGGTGATAATGGTCCTCTGCAGAGGAATTGAGGGGAAGGTGGCAATGAATGAACCTTGGAACATTGATGTTGCAATTCAATGCATCTTTTCACATATTTTTATAAACCAACAGAAGCCACAAAGTGGAATTAATGCTATTTTTAGAGATCTAGTGAAGGAAAGTAACAGTCCTATGGTTGGAATTGACCCCCTGAGAGAGCACCTGCTAAAATTTAATTTGGGGGCAATAGCTTTAACAGAATTTAGGCAGAATTACGAAGATTGGCTGATGTCCAGGAGATGGCGTGTGTATTATGCAAGATGGAAGATGGCAGGAGAGATGCTCAAGGAAGAAACTTGTCTTTGAACAAGAATAATAGGAATACATTCAAAATCAGTCGCACTGTCTGCCACAAATCTTGGTGTAGCCCTGTATCAAGATGCTCTCATGAAGTGCATGATGGATAATGCTGCCATGGGAACCTTGATTTCTCTTGCTTTGGGGTAAATCATGGAATCATTTTGGCTGGAAAAGCCCGCTAAGATCATCAAGTCAACCCAGCACTGCCAAGTCCAGGTCAAACACCGTTCAATGTTTAATTGCATGTTGCATGAAGCCCAAAAAGTCTCAGAATGCTGGAGCAGAGTGAGTGCATGGTGTGAGAACCAAGAGTGTCTGACTGTGGATTTCCTGCAAGGAGGACACGTGTTGAGAGCACCGAGTCACTGCTTGCTCATCCAGCAGTGAAAACTGTTCATTAAAATCTGTTTAACTCCTTGGCTCCTGCCAGTGCTCTGGGGAAATCAGAACTGTGGTGCCAAAGGATTAAGTGCTACATGTTGAAATGGTTTAATGGATTTAAACTGTGATGAGTGATCTCTAGGAGGGAAGTCAGCTCGCTGATGCACTGCAAAGGAGTATCTGCTTGTGTATGAGCTATCCCTGCAGACTGCCTGTGGGTTTATTCCTGCATTAAAGAAATGGCTCACCTCTTGCTTCAGTGTGCAGCATGCCACAGTGAAATGGGTGGAAAAGCTGAGACTTCTGTCAGCTGGAACCCCTGTGATCTTTATTCCTTGCACTGGGAGTTCCTCACAGTGTTGTATGGAAAGTGATTCTTGTCACCAGGGTAGACCCATGCTTATACCATGTCTAGTAGCACTTGACTGTAATTCACAGTGACATTTATTAGCAGTAATTCTGTGCATATTGATGGCAAATGTACTTAGCAATTACCTCTGAGCAGATTGTTCATGGGATGTTGTTGATTAGGAAAGTAATTGTGTGTGGTCTGCTGGTGAGGCAGGAAATGAGCTGCTCCTTGGCTCCTCTTTGGGTTTCCAATTGGAGATGGTTCCTGTGAACTTCCTGAGGGTGTTGAGGTTCATAACAGGCTTTGGTTAAATAGCCATTTGGTTTGAGTCCTAAAATTCTTACTTTTAAATGTCTGCAGAAGGTGGTAATAAGGCTTATGCTCAGCTATAGGAAGATGAAGTATCATGAAGGAATTGTAATAAACTGTAGTTGTGCTAGGGCCTGTTAAAAGTAAGCAGAAGAAAATGAAGTGGTGTGTTTGTATTTTTATAATTAGGTGTAGCTTTCTTGAATTTTTTGATGTCTACTTTTTGGAAAATGGAATATTTCTGTTATTGTGATATATTTTTATTATAAAATTATTAATATATTGTTAGAATATTATTATTCCTATATTGCTCCTAATTTTACATAGATTTACTAGCACTTTTATGGAAATTTTACTATCTTTGGTGAACAGGGTTTTTAAAAATTAAGTTCTTAGTCATCCATACTATTTTTTCATTTACCAGAGCTTGGCATTATTTATAATTCTTCAATTGTGAGGATAAAACAAAGACTTACGGAAGACATTGTTATATGAACTGTTTGATGTAAATAGAATATCCAAATTAAAAGAAGCTTTAATACCATGTCTGAATTTTGAAGTTTCTGTATTTGCTTACTGCCTGATCAGTAGTCATTGAAAATAACAGTGCAATCACCCAACAACACAAACAACCTCTCTACTCTGTGGTAGAAAATTCATATGCTTTGCTCAGTCTCTTAGCCTTCTGAGAAAACGTTATTGTTCCTTTCAGGATCCTCTCACAACTCCTTTGGAAATCACTATATAGTGGTGTTTGTTTCCCTATGAACATCGTATTTTTATCCTTCTGACTGGACAATATCTTCTGGTGCCATGCTCTCTGAATTAAGTGCAGCACCTGGGAGCTTATAGAGCACAACTGCAGTGTCAGCCTGTCAGGATGCTCACACTGCAATCAGCACCTGCTCTGGGATATTTGGTGTGTCAGGGAGAAGTGTATGATTATAATCTGTCAGAGTCCTGTGTATGGAAAACATCCCTGTCACTGGCTGCTCAGAAATATAGACTATGTATGACATAGTCACAATTGTTCAGGTAGCAAGTTTCATATTTGCCTTATCTCAGATTTTGCAGTTCATATGCTTTCACTTTTTCTGAATGTCCAGTTCATACTTTTTCCTGCTGCACTGTGCTTGAGGCTCAGAAGACAGCTGTGCAACCTTGCTTTGTGTCATAAAATGGAATTTTTTTTGAAGGCTGAGTGCATGTGTGTACTTTAGCTTAACAAATAAATTGCCCTGAGTTGAGTTGCTGCTAACAGTGTGTTATTGATTTCCTTCAAAAGAAGGCCTACCAGTAACAGAAATGTGTTCTTTTTGAGGAGTTTCAGATGGTGCAGCCTTTGCCTCTTCCTCTGTAACTGAAATTTGCTTATAATTTTGGAGAAGATTTCAGAATTTTGATTGCAGGAAAATCCACAGAGAGACTAAACCCATATACTTCAAGATTCAGCTGAAAATGTCCTGATATCAATAAATCCCAAACTGGAATCAACATCTGCTCAGCTGAAGTTGGAGTTCGTCTCACTAACACAAATCATTCATCTTTCCAATGTCTATATCCTGTAATTTCTGCAGTCCTTAACTGTAGTGACTCAAAGGTGCAAGAGAGCACATGCTGAGTATTTTAGTTTAAATCAGACTATTGATTCATTTAACCTGTTCCCTGAGCTGTAGTAGGAAGCTTTATTCATTTTCTATAGAGGAATTTTTAAACATAAGGCTACTAAGGGCTGTTTGTGACGTATTAAAGCAAGTATGAGGACACAGAGAAGGGAATAAATAAAAAGACATTTACTGCAAGCCTTAAATGATTTCATGCATGTTCAGCTATCACATCAAGGAAATGAGGGAAGGCGATCAATTCATGTACTCATTATTATCAAGCAGAAGTTGTAAGTTTTTAGGAGTAATTAGAACTGAAGACCAAACCACAAAACCTGGGGAACCTCTAAGTCTGTTTTGCAAGGAATTATTTATTTCCTTACTTGTGTCCAGGTTCTCTATGAGCAACAGGGCAGAAAAACAAGTAGCATTTAAGATGAGGATGTACCTTGTTATGCCTGAATATCTTACTGATCAGGTAAGATATTCAGCATCCACCAGATCAGGCCTTATCAATGTAGTAGTTAGGTTCTTGAGAAGATGGAGCTGAACTGGTTTTAGAACTGGGGCCTCCTGGCATCTCTGTTTTCATCTTCATAAGCCATTTAACCTGTGTAGTGTGTGCTAATCCGGTATCTGTAATGTGGATGACTTTGAGAAAGTAAAAACAAACAAACAAAAAAAAAAGCATTATTAAAAAAAAGTTTAAAAGGTGTATAAATATATGTATGTATATATGTATACATAATATGTGTGTATATATATATGTGTGTGTGTATCTATATGTATACATATATATGCATATATTAAAAATATATATATTTACCAAATCCAAAACAAACAAACCCCACCAAAAAGTCAAAATCCATAAAATTTCTTGCAAAATGAAATAATCCATGTTTGAGGACTTAAATATAGCTGATGAAAAATATGATGCTTCAGCATGACTGGACATTTTAAAACCTGTGTAATTGCTGTCACTGGTGCAGTGCAGTTTGGAAGAGACACCTGTGATTTCTTCTCCCTGCTCTAATTTTATCTGGACAGGTTCACCCTGTACTTACTTTCCCCAAGGCTTTACAGGTCTTTGATCCAAGTATGTGATCTATTAATGTGAATGAGTCTTGTGTGTATTGTCTTTATCCTTTGTTGGCATTGTTTATGAAAACACAGAGTGTTCCGTGTTTGTAGCTCTCTCTCACGTTATAGATTTGGCTTGCATCCTCCTCATTGTCTTGGCAAGATGAAAATTAAACAAGAATGCGTGCGCCCCCATTGGGAAAAGGATACATTAATTACTGTGGCTGAATGACATTGATTACAGCAATTAAGTTGTTGTTTTTTTTTTTTTAAATAACATCTTTCATTCTATGTGACTGTGCTAACCCAGTGTTTTCTTCCTTTATTTTGAATATTGTCTTGAGAGAAAAGCCTTCTTTCATATTCAAATAACCTTATTCTCTGTTCATAGAAGTTGTGCATACAGTGTGGCAGAAAAATTTATGTTTTAAAAATGCTTTCACCTTACTTTTTTAACCTTTTTCTTCTCATTTTCTTCTGTTGGGAGAAAAATTAGGTACCTGTTGGGAACTAGTAACAGTCTTGCTTTATAAGCATTTTCTAGGTCCAGAAAGCCTTAGGAAAGTGTCACATTCAAGTTACTTTAGAATATATTATCTATGCTCCATTATTGGCTGTGGTTTCTGTCCAAGGTTAAATAATCTGAGCAGTTCTTGGTTTTACTAACAGGAGCTGCATTGTGTTACTCGTGGGGGATTCTATATAAAGGAAACCACGTTTCCGTGATAAAAAACTGATTTCCTTTAGAATGTGCAGTTCACTAGGTGACAATTTTTAATGTGTTTTTAATAAACTGATTGTGGAAAGAAATAATTTTGCTTTATAGTGAATATTCCCCCTGGTGTGCTTCTTAAAATTGAGTTCTGTATTCAAGAACAAACTTGAGTTAAGCAGAGTAACACCTTTGTAACCTGGCTATAAAGCTGTGTTTATGGCAGGAGTTATTTATTTGAAAATACAAAATAAACAGGCATTTGGGTAATTATTGTACTGCAATGCTGTAATGCAGGGATGCAGCTAGGCCACTCTTCAGCCATTCAGCGCTATAAAACCCTCCACTTCTTTATGATGTTACAGGTTTCTCATCATAATTGTATTTTTGAAAGCAGAAAAATCCTGATGAGCCAACAGATTTATCTTCTGGGTTTTTTAGTACTATATGATAACTTCAAGTGGTTTAATAAGTTTTTCTTTAATGAGTCTTGAAAGTCTTTTGTTACAGTTGCTTTTAAAAATTACTCATGTAAAATATGAATAGTTTTATTGCTTAGAATAGTTGCAAGTTTTTTGATAATTCTGCATCACTGCATGCATTTTATCACATTGTATATGACTAGAGAGTAATTTCTGTTCCCTTAAAATGCACAAGCTTGTCATTGAAATGTGTAAAACTTCCTCAATGGATAAATGTGTATCCATGAAAACATTGTGTCTCTATTACTCTGGAGCAGTAGTGACACGGTCAGGGACTCCATTATTTTGACATTCTTTTATGATGTTGCTCAGTGAATCGTAGACAAATGACACTGTCTCTGATTGTCCTTCTCTTAGATTTAAAAAAACAGAGTGGGAAAATATGTGAAGTGCAGGGGATTTTGAAAGGACATTTATCTGTGGACCAGTGAGAAGTCACTGGTGATTAGTTCAACAGTTAGTAATTACACTGTTTAATATGATCTTCTGTAAGTAGTAAAGGAAGGCTTGTTGTGCTAAATATTAGCACATTCCTACAATACTGACATCTCGTTTAATTTATGCATTTGTTATTAGTTACTTTTTTATGTAAAAAGGGAAGGCATCACCATTTTCTCTGTTAATTATCTCAAGTGCTTTCTATTTCAGGAAAAGAATCCTATCTCCTTTAACAGCTAGAACTTCTAGTGGTTGTTCTTTAATTTAAGATCTTGATAATCTGCATTTGTGTGTTTGAATCTTGGTTTTGTTTTGGTATTTGAAAACCCAGAAATCCTTTGCTGTGCTTCTTTTTTAGGAACAGAGTGCGAAGACCTTATAGAGGAGTTGCTGTGCTGCCTCATCCAGCTCATTGTTGAAATTCCCCTCTTGTAAGTAGGCTTTTTTTTTAACTTAGTCTTCTGTTATAATCTGAGCATTTGAGAGACTATGAAACCTGTAGTAATGGGTTTATAATGTTTAAATAGTTGTATTTGAATGTTCCATGTGATGGAGCAGTACAGATAACGATAAGCTGCTGCCAGTGCCAGCCCTGAATATTCTGTTGGGAGAAGTACATGATGAACGTCTCACACCCAGTTCAAACCATCAACAGAAGTTATTCCATTTGTTTCAGGTACCCCTGTCAGCACACAGACAGTAACTGGTGGAAATGGTTGTGCTCATGGTACAGGGGAAGGTACAGTGGAGGTGTCACTTCAGCTCTGGGGTATGCAGTAAGGTGAAAACTAAAGTTCTTCTGCAGTTCTGTGGGGGTTTAAATTGAAAATAAATCATACTGTGCTATTTAATACTGATTTCTAAAATTCCGGTGAATTGATGTCCAAAGAAGGGACAAGAGAAATTAATAAGTGGAATGTTTCTGTAGATCTCCAGATTTGTTTACATGGCTTTTTTTTCATGCATCTGTTGTATTTGAGAAATGTTGATTCCATGTCTTGTTGGGAAATGTGTCGTAAAACATACTTCAGTGTTTTATGTAGGAGAGCATGCTTTGTTCTTTGGGAAAAAAAAAATGTTCTTCCGCTTTTGTGGAAGTGTTCTGATGAGTTTTGACTATTTTCCCCATGATAAACTTTACTAAACGTAGAGTGAGCAGTGTCTTTAGTGTTAAATTTCATTGTAGTCTGTGTCTAAAATGCAGCGCCCCAGCTGAAGCCTGGCAGCTTTGGAGGAGTTTCAGATTGTCTGTTGCAGTGTAGTATAGAGCTCTGCTATCTCGTGGCTGGGATTGTTCTTTTGGCTGGAAAACTGACAAGGATGCAATGTTTTTTGAGACATTGCTGTCATTAAATGCAGCTCTGTCAACGTTAATGCGAGGGGTTTGTGTAGGTAGAGTGTAATGGATTAGTGGTGTGATTCAAAGTGTCATTCCACAGAGCTTGTCAGGACTTCCTGGAACACATACAGGCTTTGTTTGGAGCAGACTAGAGGAAGTACAAAGGGCTGAGAGAACTGTGATATACGGGCAAGTTCATAAATCCTGCAGGGTTTTATTTTTCTTTCTTGGAAGCACCCGTGTGTAGTCCAGTATCCTTCATAATGCCTTTCCAGCATGATAGTTCCTCACCCAGTTCCACACCTGAGGCTCTCAGCAGCTCTGTCTCTGTGTGAATCTGGTTGCCACAAGTGGAAGCAGCTGATGGAAGCACTTAGATTACTGTAAAATCCAATGCTAAAATGGCTTGTTTAAAAAGAAAATTATAAAGCCTGTCCATAATTTAATATTCAGCTATATCAAAAACCTGCATTTCATAAGAGATAGATGCAGAAGATTTTTGTTTTGTGGTTAGTTGGGTTTCTTTTGGTGAAATAAGTTTTTTTTTAGCTAACCTTCTCCTGAAACACAGTGTTGCTGATTGCTAATAAATACTAACACTTACAAAAATGTGTATTACTGTCTTGTTTATCACTAGAATATGTTTAACAGTGTGATAATGCCTTAACTAAGAATTTTGTTCCCATACATTGGAAGGGAAATAGGTAGGGGGAAGGACATACTGGAGAACTTGTGTTCTCTAATACACAGTCCAGCTATGTTCTTCAAAAAGGTGTTAAAAGGTATTACTTTAGTATTAATTTTTTTCAAGAGAGTGATCAGGATTGCTTTCATAGAGAGTGTACTTCTTGCTTCCCACTCTCTTCCTGGTCAGTTATCACTAGAGATTCTTTCCCTGTTCTGTTCCAAGGGACTAGTCCATTTTTGTCTTTAGCTGGAATGAATCAAGAGAGCTGCAGGCTAGTATGTGAATTTGGGGAAGGAATAGATTGGAATAGATGAAATATTCAAACTTGTAATGATCTCTGTGTCGGAACTTAGGATCACCTGTGAGAGAACAGACAGTTTTGGCAGCTTGCAATGGCACTGTAACAGAATGTCTGTCTGTAAAGATACTATCAAAGATTAATTTTTTTGGTGACAGACCAGTAAAATATCCATGCTGAGATGTCTTCAAAGTATCTTTCAGAACAGCAAAGATTTTGTTAAGAGCATTCAATAGCCTTAAACAGGGGATTTGAACAATTAGTGTGTCCCTTGGGTTCTGCAGATGCAGTTTGGTGAAGGGGTGGATACTAACTGGCATCTGCTGTCTGAATAGATTGCTTGCCTGCACCCCAGTTAAAGCTTGTATTTTTCTCCTTCACTGAAACTGTAACAATATTTTTAAAGCATGGAATGCCATTTCCGTGTTCAGAA